AAGGTTATATATATATATTATGTGGTATGTTTAATATAGAATGTTGTTTTATTATTGAGTGATAATTTAACATCTTAGTGTTGCATAAAAATTAAACACATATAGATATAAAAGAAGTTGGAGGAGGAGACAACAAGTTTTCTTACATGAAAAACCTAGAAAGAGAAAAATGAGGGGGGGCAAGCCCAGTCAAATCTGTCTACTATGTAATTGTAAGTACATAGGTCTACTCTTCTCCAAAACTAGAAAATAAAAAATAAAAAGCTGATAATCACATATGTACAATAATAGTTTAGTTAGAATAGTCATAAATTTGTTACAACAATTGTCGTAGTGCTTGGCTATATATAATAGCAATAGTTGGTTACAATAGTTTAGATGATGGTTGTAATAGTAGTAATTGGCCATAGAGATTATAGTTGGAGACTGTAATAGCAGTAGTTGGCCACATAAGCCATAATTGAAAACTGTAATAGTAGTTGGTCACAAAAGGCTTAGTCGATTGCTACAAAGGCAATAATTGGCCATAAATTGAGATTGTAGTCGGTGGCCACAATAGCAACAATTAATCATAGAGGACGTAGCTCAAAACTATATTAGTACAAAATGACTGCAAAGTTTTTATTTAGTTGTTATAAAGAAAGTGGTTGGTCATCAAGGTTGTAGTCCATAGCTAAAATAGTGGTAGTTGGCTACAAATGTCATATATAGTTGAAAATTGTAACAATAGTAGTTGGTCACAAAGGTTGTAGTTGGTTGTTACAATAACAATAATTGACCATAAATGTTATAGCCAGTGGATGTAATTGCAGTTGTTGATCACATAGGTCTTAGTTAGAAATTGTAACAGCAGTTGTTGGTTACAAAAGAAGTACTTTGGCTACAATGGTTGCAAGTTGTGTTCCCTTTCCGCTGATGGTTGGTGGCGACAAATGGTGATGACGAACGATGGTCGACGGCAGTTGAAGGTGGTTGGTGGCTATGGTGTTCGATGGTTACTCATCGAGAATTCTCCAGAACAGGTTTTGGAGGTCACAGACGACCAGTGGCCGGCAACAGCGAGTGGCGGCGACTAGCGGCGATCAATGGTGGTCGTAGGCTACAGAGACTGATGGTTACTCACTCGATCTTCTCTAGAACAAGCTATAAAATTTCACTTCTCCTTCTCTAATTCTTTCCCCCCTGATGAAGAGTGGAGGCATATTTATAGCCTTTTGGAGAGGGGCATTTTAGTCTATTGACATGTAACTTTCTAATCACCTGATCAAAAGATCCATACTGATCCTCCTTGATTAAATGTGTTTTTTAAGGAATCAAGTGTTATAATGACCACAAAATTGAGAATCTTAGGATCATTTAAATATGTCAAATTTTAAGTTAACTTGATCATTCAATTGATGGTCCAACGCGTTCTATTATACTTCAACGACCTGATTTGGCCCAGATTGAATCAATTTTGACATCAATGGATTTGTCTTAAGATGATTTGTTTGATTATAAACTTACTGAAATCGAGACAAAAAAATATTTGTATTTCAATTTGAAAGCTCTCTTATAAAATTGCATGGTGTTTGTTAAAAATTTATTGATGGGACATCGGTTGTTGTGATTATTATTATTATCATAAATTAAAAATATCATAAATTTAAAAGGTAAAGAAATATGTCCAATAAATATAATAATTTTTCTCCTCAACTAGCCTGTGATATATGAGATCCAGCCGGCAGTACTTGATTGGTCGGTCCTCTAACTGGTAATTAGACAAATGTCTTTTATAAACCCTGGCACCAATCGGAAAGCTGACCATGGTGGACTTTGTAATACTACCAATACAAAAAAATTAATATCCATTTTACCAAATTTTAGGGGGAGGTTAAAATATAAATAAGAAAAAAAAAAAGAAATGATTACCAATTAGTCAACATAAGTTTAACAATATCTTCTATAAAACCATATAAAAATTGACCCGTCACATCTTATGTATTACACCGTTCATAGATATTATATAAAACATAATATAGACAATTATAAATTAAAAAATAATAAATTTATGCAACATTTTCAATACACTGCCGTCAGAAAATAGTAAAACATATAGTATACATTAATATTAAAAATCATATTTTTGAGGAGCATGTTTATGATAAATTTTAAATTATTTTCTTAGAGTAAGGTCTAAGAAACCTAATTTTTCTTTAAACGGGAGTTTGGCCCATCGTATGCATTCATCATATCACACTTCTCTTCTGTGGTGTGTCTTAATCCCTATAAAGGTCGTGCCACCTTCTTCTGTTCCTCACAGACCGTAGTCTTCTCCTTCTCCATAATTTAGACTTAATTGATTTTATGAAAGTGAGCTGCGAGTTTAATTAGAGAGAGAAGCTGTTAATTAGAGAGAGAAGGTGCAGGATTTGATAGAGAGAGAAAGATGGGTAGGGCTCCATGTTGTGACAAGGCTAATGTGAAGAAAGGACCTTGGTCTCCTGAGGAGGATGCAAAGCTCAAGTCTTACATAGAAGAACATGGAACTGGCAACAACTGGATTGCTCTCCCTCAGAAAATTGGTAATCAGACCTACAACTTCAGTTCTATATAGATATTTTATTTATCTCATGAATCTGTTAATCTCTTTCGATGTTATTTTCTAATGTTTTGAAGAGAAATGATATATAGAGGGTCATGTTGGTTTCTAGTTCAAGCTAAGAAGATTAAGAAATTTTTAGAACTCCTTCAACACTTTTGATTGTCTGTAATTTTCTTTAGCTCATAAAGAAAAGTATAAGATCTATGTAGAATAAAGTTTGATTTTTTGAGTTTCCAAGCTTATAAAAGTGTGATTTATCATACACATGAGCTAATTTTTTGAAGATACTCTAATTTGAATGTGAGATGAGGAGAAATTAAGGCCTTTCTGTGGATTCAGTTATTTTAAAGAATGATCAATAATTATGAGGAAAATATGTTGCACAAAAAAAAACCAAAGCAATATTATACATGAATTTGGCTTCTCAAATTAGTTAGTGATTAATATTTCAGGCCTGAAGAGGTGTGGAAAAAGCTGCAGGCTAAGATGGCTGAACTATCTCAGGCCAAATATAAAGCATGGTGGCTTCTCAGAAGAAGAAGACCGAATCATATGCAACCTCTATATCAGTATTGGCAGCAGGTATACATAAGTCTTCAAAATTCTAATTTTCATAAACATAATTTATGCATGAAATCTGATTATGATACATATTCTTAGTTGAGTTGTTCAAAACCCTCACATTTTTATAAATAATTTGATACTAGCACACTATTAATATCACGAATATTGAATCATAATATATTATTATACATTAAATCCTTGTTCAAATTTATCTTCCAAAGTTATTAAAGTCTAATCCTAGCTAATTCAACATAATATATATTATGTATATGAATAGATGGTCAATCATAGCAGCTCAGCTTCCAGGAAGAACTGATAATGACATCAAGAACTACTGGAACACTAGGCTTAAGAAAAAGCTTCTTGGTCGCCGAAGAGACCTTCTTCCATCACAGTTCCGCCAGCTGGCTACTGCCAATCAGAAACTTAATCACGAGGGCTGCAACCCTACCCCTAATCCTAACCCTAATCCTAACCCTAACCCTAACCCTAATGAACCATCACAAACCCTAACAACATCAGCTCTTGAAAGGTTACAACTCCACATTCAGCTACAAGGCCTCCACAGCCCCTTCTCTTACAACAATACATCCCTTTGGCCCCATACTAAGGTCTTGCAAACCCTAAACAGTGCTGATCATTCCATTGCCAGTTCAACTGTATCACCATTGAAGCATTTTCAGCAAATCAATACCAATTATATGATCGCAAACATACAGGAACATGTAGGGATTCCTTCTTCTTCATGTTCCAACAATAACCTTGAGGCCGAGCTCCATAACTTGCTCTATGGCTATAAGGAGAACTATCAACTCACACAAGCGGATTGCTTGAAAGAAATCATGAATGATCAGAAGGGATTGGAATATTGGGGGGAAATCAATGATTTTGAGGAGAAATTATCGTCAATTTCGTGGGATTCGACTCTTCAATCAGATACTGTGTTTATTCAAGATTATGGACATGGTTATGATCAATAGTCTTACTTCCAGTATGGAGTTTGGATGCTTTTATTTATGGGTAAAGATTGTATGAGGAATTATTGCTGTAAAGGAGTTAATTATTCAGTCATTATTGCTGGTGTCATGCACATTAGGAGAGCTGAATTTGGTTTTCAATTGAAAGTTGGTGTTCACTCTTCTTCAAGTAAAAAATCATCTCCATTAATTTCTTCCTTCTCCTCCTCCTTGGTGCATGCAAAAGTTCCAATTTTAGTAATTTCTGCTTAATTACCATTGGGTTTATTTGTAATTACCGAATCAATGTTGTTTTTAGTTTTAAGACAACTCTTTATCATGTGAACAATAACTATATATGTTTTTATCTCTTGGATAGTTAGAAAGAATGTCTTACTACAACCAGATTAAAATATTAAAGTACAGATAACTTACAATAATCTTAACAGAACATTTCCTTATGGAGCATCTGAGCAGTATGCTCCCTGTTGGCTGCTTCTTAATAACTGCTTAATCCTGGAAGTTAATTCTTTGTTGGGATCCCTGACATTGGAATCCTAATACATATTTGCTGTTAGATGCTGTTTAATATATGCTTATGTTTGAACTTTAGTGATCAAGGAATAGGATTTGCTTCCTCTCACATGGGATAGCCTTAAAGTCCCAGCCATAATATTTGTTTAATTAATGGAAAAGTCTATGTACAAGACTTTGTTAGTCCCCATAATTAGGCTTAATCATCCAAAGAGTTTCGAAGTTTCAACTTAGCATTAATGGTATTGCTAATTCTAATTGGACAGTCTGGATTCACACATGAGAGGAGAATATATACTCCTACAATCACATTTATTTACATTTACTCTTACTGACCCATAAGGATTCAGACTGTATGAATAAAACAAGTACAAAAGTGTATATAAAGTTGGTGATTTGCTGTTCGTGAATCTGTACTAAACCACTGTTAATGGCAGAAACGAACTTTTGCTAACTTTCAGGCTTCTTTTAGGGCAAGTTTTGCGTACTGATTTGAAGTTCTTTGATTATATATAAATATTATTTTTTAGAATTGTATATATAATATTATTCAATTTCCATCCATTATAAGAATAATTATTATAATAACAATGAACATTAGCTAAGCTCGTATGTCCTTACTTCTTCTCCATCATTCATTTTTTTCATTTTCTCAACGATACCTACCCGCACAAGCAACAGTACATGTTTAAATAATATGTGAATATCAGCGTCTTGTAATTCTTTTGGCGTTATTCTACGGCGTCAATGTAAATAAACTTTAGAAGAAAGTATGTTTGTCAATGTAAATAAAGTTTAGAAGAAAGTATGGTTTATCCGAGAGTTTTAATAGGATCGGCACACGACTTCACACTCGCGGGCTGCGCGCAAGATGATTAGGACTGTTTTTTTTACTGGTTTATAATAATAGAGTTTTAGTGGTTCAGATTTCTTTAAATCCTTACTAAATACAGCTATATATATATATATATATATATATAGCCGGAGGCTATTATATTGAGAACCCTTGAACTGAGAAAACTTACGATAAGAGAAATTCAAATAATTTTTAATGGTCAAAACCCCACATAAAACAACAATTAAGCCATAGTACACTATTTTTTCGCTTGTAAGTAATGTAAAGACCAACGAGATTTCTAAAAACTTTTGGGTCCAATGATTTTCTGAGTGGTAACCCTCGTGGATTTATGCCAAAAGGTTAACCTAGATTACTAAATCAATGGTTGAAAGTCATCGGTTAGTGCAAGGATGTCCGTTGATTTCTCGATGACCCGTCGCTTGACTGGTACATATACCAAAAAATAAAAAGCTTTTTTCTTTCATTGTAATTTTCACATATATAATTGTAACATAAATACAAATCCAATAATATATATATATATATATATATATATCTATCTAAATCTTCCAAACACGAATCTGACACATTTTTTTTTCTAGATTTTGAAGAAATATTTTTTCGATG